CTCGAGGTTGTCCGCAGGGGGTGCGTCCAATCGGGAGAGGTGATCGGCAGCAACATTCTCTGCTCCCTTCTTGTCCCGAATCTCAATATCAAACTCCTGCAGCAGTAAGATCCATCGTAGAGCCTAGGCTTGGCATCAGCCTTGCTCATCAAGTATCGAATCGCGGAGTGATCAGTATACACAATCACATGGGACAAGACCAGATAAGGGCAAAATTTGTCGAAGGCAAACACCACCGCGAGCAGCTCTTTCTCCGTGGTGGTGTAGTTCTCCTGGGCATCATTCAAGGTCTTCGAGGCGTAGTAGATGGGCCGGAAATGCTGATCACGCCTCTGCCCCAACACAGCTCCAACAGCAAAGTCACTGGCATCGCACATAATCTCAAATGGTAAGGACCAGTCAGGAACAACCATGATAGGAGCTTGGGTGAGCTTCTCCTTCAAGGTCATGAAAGCCGCTGTGCATGCATCAGTGAACTGGAAGGGGGCATCCTTCTCTAGAAGCTTCGTCAGGGGCAGAGCAATCTTAGAGAAATCCTTGATGAACCGCCTGTAGAAACCTGCATGACCAAGAAAACTTCGGATCCCCTTAACAGATGTAGGAGGAGGCAGTTTGCTGATAGTCTCGATCTTCGCTCTGTCCACCTCAATCCCCATCTTGGAGATCTTATGCCCAAGAACTATGCCTTCTCGAACCATGAAGTGACACTTCTCCCAACTCAGTGCCAGGTTCGTTTCTTCACACCGTCTAAGGACAAGCTCCAGGTTATGGAGACAGTGAGAGAATGAGTCTCCATAAACCGAGAAATCGTCCATAAACACCTCCATAATCTCGCCGACCAGACGATCAAAGATGGCGAGCATGCATCGCTGAAAAGTCGCTGGGGCATTGCACAGCCCGAATGGGATCCTCCGGTATGCAAAGGTGCCGAAGGGGCAGGTGAAAGTGGTCTTCGCCTGGTCCTCCGGTGCAATCGGGATCTGGAAGTACCCGGACATCCCATCCAGGAAACAGTAGAACTCGTGCCCTGCCAGTCTCTCCAGCATCTGATCAATGAATGGTAGCGGGAAGTGGTCCTTCCGAGTGGCGTCGTTGAGACGCCGGTAATCAATGCAGACACGGTACCCAGTCACCGTGCGCATCGGGATCAGCTCATTCTTCTCGTTAGGCACCACAGTCATCCCGCCCTCGGGATCTGGAAGTACCCGGACATCCCATCCAGGAAACAGTAGAACTCGTGCCCTGCCCGTCTCTCCAGCATCTGATCAATGAATGGTAGCGGGAAGTGGTCCTTCCGAGTGGCGTCGTTGAGACGCCGGTAATCAATGCAGACACGGTACCCAGTCACCGTGCGCATCGGGATCAGCTCATTCTTCTCGTTAGGCACCACAGTCATCCCGCCCTTTTTGGGTACCACCTGGGTGGGACTGACCCACTCGCTGTCGGAAATGGCGAAGATGATCCCCGCGTCCAACAGCTTCACGATCTCTGCCCGAACCACAGCCTCCCGGTTCGGTGTCAGTCTCCTTTGCGGCTGTCTCACCGGCTTCATCTCATCCTCCATCAGTATCCGGTGGGAGCAGAAAGAAGGGCTGATCCCCCGGATGTCGGTGATCTTCCAGGCGAGGGCTCGCTCATACCGCTTCAGCAAGGTCACCAGTCTGGTCTTCTGCTCGGGTGTGAGGGTCGAGCTGATGATGACTGGCAGCTTATTCCCCTCCCGGAGAAATGCATACTCCAAATGAGGAGGGAGGGGCTTAAGCTCCAGCTCTGGTGGTTCCTCCAAGGAAGTAGCGATGCGGGTGGAGGATGAGATCGGTTTAAACAGCCTGTCGCCCTCCAAGAAGGGGCCACTCTCCAACTCGGCCAACTGCTCCGCCAGCTGCGACTCCTGCGATGCCTGCTCACCTAGCAAAATACAACGCTCAAGAACATCGTCAGTACCCGCACTCGTGATAGCGAGTGCGGTCTCATAATCAGCAAGCATATCACAGTAATCTATGTCATCATGCAAATGAGGGTGTTTCCCATTCTCAGACACAGAAAAAGTAGCATGTTCATCACCAGCACGCAAAATCAATTTACCACTATGCACATCAATAAGCGCCTTGGCGGTGGCGAGAAACGGTCTACCTAAAATCAAAGTTACATCCACATCCTCATTTATATCCAAAATAACAAAGTCCACAGGATATGTGAATGTACCCACATTAACAAGCAAGTCCTCAATGATACCCCTAGGATGCACGATAGAACGATCAGCTAACTGAATGCTCATCCTAGTAGTTCTAGGTTCACCTAGGCCTAGCTTCTTAAACAATTTATAAGGCATGACATTGATGCTAGCGCCTAGGTCCGCCAAGGACTTCCCTACATGCATGCTGCCAATAATTAGAGGGATAGTGAAACTCCCTGGGTCTTTTCGCTTCTCAGGCAGCTTGTTCTGCAGGATGGCAGAACACTCCTCGCTCAGCATCACTGTCGAAAGATCCCCAAGTTTCTTCTTGTTGGTGAGGAGGTCCTTCATGAACTTGGCATACTTGGGCATCTTCGACAGTGCCTCCACGAACGGCATGCTGATGTTGACCTGCTTCAACATTGCCATGAACTTGGCAAACTCAGTCTCCAGCCTGTCTTTATGCAGGCGAGTGGGGAAAGGAAGCTGAGGTACATGCTCCTTAACCACTGGCTGTGGCTTGGGAGCAGGCGTTGTTGTGTCTTCCCCCACGTCTGCAGTATCAGCTGGAAGTGTTGAAGCAGGTAGTGGATCATCTCGACTAGGCTGGGCAGGAGCAGCTGATGTGGTCTTGCCACTCCTGGTAGTGATGGCATCAAGTTGCTGGAGCTGGTGAGGATCCCGAGGATTCGGGACAGTGGTGGCAGGCAGAGTCCCCGGTGCCCTGGTGGTGTTCTGGCGGGCCAAGATGTCCACCTGGGTCTGCAGATCCTGCAAAATGGCACCCTGGTTCCTCTGACCTGCCTCCAGTGAAGCTACACTCTGGTCCAACCTCGTGATAGTCGCCTGAGTGCTCGTCATAAACGAAGCTAGAATATTTTCCAGCTTTGTCATCTGAGTATCTGGAGCTGGAGCTGCTGCTGGCTCGGCAAACTGGCGCTGGGGCTGTTGGAAGGGTTGCCCTTGCCTAGGCTGGTAGGGCTGCTGCTGTGGAACTGGCCCTTGTCGAGGCTGGTAGGGCTGCTGCTGTGGAAATGGGCCCTGTCGAGGCTGATAGGGCTGCCTCTGCTGAAAGCCACCAACTGGTGCTGGGAAACCAGGTGGCTTGGTGGTGTTGCTGCCCCAAGAGAAGTTGGGATGCTGGCGCCACCCCTCATTATAGGTGTTGCTGTACGGGTCGAGGCGCTGAGCATTGGCGATGAAGTCCAACTGCTCCTGGGGAGTAGTAGACTCCCTCATAGCCTGGCAGTCTTCTACTGAGTGGCTCGAGCTCTCACACCACTGACACTGAGCAACTGGAGGTGTAGCCATACCTCTGCCCGGAATAAGACTGTTGGGCTGCTTCAATGTCTGCACCAGCTCAGCTACCTGCTGCTCGAGTCCGGATCTGGACTCCATGGCGTGCACACCACGATCCCTGGAATGTCTGCCTCTGCTGCTCTGCCCCCAAGAATGATCTCTGGCAGCCAATGTATTAATCATCTGATTCAGTTCGGGTGGAGTCTTGGTGAGAATATCCCCTCCTGGGCATAAAGACTCAATCACCCTCTGGCTATCTGGGGAGAGAGTGCTGTAGAAGTTCCCCACAGTGAAAGCATCACTAAAGCCATGGTGGGGGCACTGCCAGAAGTAGCCCATGTACCGCTCCCAAGCATCACGGAGTGACTCATCTGGCTCCTGGCGGAAGTGAGTGATCTCCCGCTGAATCTCTGTAGTCTTCGATGCCGGATAGTACCTGTGCACGAACTTGTCCGCCAGATCGTCCCAAGAGGTGATGGACAATGGGGGCTGGGTCTCCAACCACCTCTTAGCATTCCCCGCCAGAGAATGGGGGAAGAGATGAAGGCGGATCACATCATCGGGAACACCGTTCAGCTTGAACCCGTTTGTCAGCTGCAGAAAACGGGAAAGATGCACCCTGGCCTCCTCATCCTTCAAGCCATGGAACTGGATAGAGGATGTAATGAGCTGAATCCAGCATGGCTTGATCTCGAAGTTGTTTGCTGGGATCGGTGGGTAGAGGATGACCGGGCGGATGTCAGCAATCCGAGGAGTATAGTAGTACTCCAAGGTGGGACCCGGCTGCGGTGGATGATGAACTCCATGATCCTGGGGTATGGGGTTGTTCCCCAGGACCTGATTCACCGGGGGAACCTGATGAGGATTCCCCTGGTGCGGATTATACTCTCCGTCCATCCTGTGCTCTTCTTCAGAATCACTGCTCACGTGGTCGTCTATGCGCTCTTCCGTAGCCAGTCTAGCTCGTTGTTGTCTCCCGAGCTGGCGACAGGTGCGGTCAATCTCGGGATTCAACGGCAGTAAACCTCCCGACTGGCTACGGGTCATGCACTACCTGCACACACTCAAGCAGACAAACCCGTGAAGGCACAAGTGGGACAAAGCAAACAAAGCAAAAAGAAAAGCTAAATTAACAGAAATCACTTTTCTTCAACAACCTAGCCGTCCCTGGCAACGGCGCCAAAAACTTGACTCGACTCTACTGTCACTCCAGGAATTGGCCAAGTGAAACCACTTCCTAAAGCGTAGTATAGCGGGTTTAGGTTTAATTATCAACCCGGGTCCTAGATCTGATGACTACTCAGTGAATTCTTGTTATCTAGCAATGAAACTGGAATTCAAGTCTAAACTATCAAACTAACAAAGCAAGTAAACTGTTGTATTCAGGTTAAGAGAGGTCACCCGGATATGGTTCCCCCTAGACTGCAGTTAAGCCGGATTGTAATTACCAAGTTCAGTTTCTATGACAGTTATATTGCGGAAGGTTCTTAAACAGCCTGAAGTCTCGACTAAAGGTCTTCAGACCCTCTCAATCTGACTCTCTAGCGGGCGACTAACCTCCACCGGAGTCGACAGATTGAGGCCCTAAGAACAAAACCTCCACTACCAGAGTAAATCCGGTACAGAATAGTGAGTTGGTTCCTCGACTAAAGTCACCAACTCCCTACCTTCAATCAAGGATGCTCTATCAACCTAGGCAGATATTCTCATTCTAGGTCAAAGCAGAAACAACAGGAATTTGATCAGGATTCAAGTCATTCAATCATTAAAACCTCAATCGAATATAATCAATCATAGAATCAGTACTTGGGTTCATACAATCAAACCTAACATGCAAATCTAGGGTTCTCCATACCCAGATGAATGGAAGAACTACTCCATGGAGAAGAAAGCAAAAGCAGAATCAGACACGGAATTCATACTGCGAAGGACGGATTCCGGCTTCTGGACGTTGATCGGCACTTCTCCAAGCTCAAGCTGGCCTCCAATGGTGTTGAAGATCAATCTAGGGCACTTGGGAACTCTTGCTCGTCACTTTCTCTCTCTAGAATTCGTTCTTTCTCTCAAAAACTCCAATCCTCCCGAATTGTGGCTGAAATTTTGCTTAAAAGGAGAAAATCCCGACTCACACGGCCAGGGTGGCACGGCCGTGCAGCTCACCCAGTTGCCCGTGTGAGTCAAAACGCATCGTTTCATTTAGTTCGAATTCCAGGCTCTTTGCACGGCCAGAATGGCACGGCCGTGTAGACATCCCCTTTTGCCCGTGTTTGCTCTCGCAGAATGTGGCACGGCCAACCCGGCCACTTGCACGGCCGTGTCGATCCTCTGCTCTGCCCGTGTGTGCTCTCGGCAAAACTCGCACGGCCAGGCCATTACTTCACACGGCCGTGTGAAGATCAGGGCAGCCCGTGTGACCTCCTTTGTGACTTGTCTCGCGCCCGATCTTCACCCAATCGACCCCGAACTCACTCCTAAACCTTCATTCACTTGCCAGGACCTGAAATATCACAAACAAGCACAACCTAGCGTGAAATCGGTCTAAAACACGAGAAACCACATCTCCAACGGTGTAAGAACAGGGGTGAAAACATGTGTAACTAACGGTCTATCAAGGATCAATAGACTTCATTATCGGTGGAGAATAGCCTCGACCTGATTTCACGATCTGTAGCCTCCAGAATCGAAAGAAAATGGCATTTCGGAAAAATCGCCCAAAATCGGTGATGGTACCCCTTTGCAATCTGTTAAAAATTGACTCGGAATAAATCCGCCCAAATCGGTGCTTAATGGACTTAGTCATCGTTGAAGAATAGTCTCAGGCCGAATCCGTGATCTGTAGCCTTCAAAATCCAATGAAAATGGCCTTTCGACGCCCACAAAATTACGAAAATGCCATCCGAAAATAAATTGGCCAAAATCGGTGTTTAATGGACTTATCATCCGTGGAGAATAGGATCAATAGACTTCATTATCGGTGGAGAATAGCCTCGTCCTGATTTCGCGATCTGTAGCCTCCAGAATCGAAAGAAAATGGCATTTCGGAAAAATCGCCCATAATCGGTGATGGTACCCCTTTGCAATATGCCAAAAATTGACCCGGAATAAATCCGCCCAAATCGTTGCTTAATGGACTTAGTCATCGTTGAAGAATAGTCTCTGACGCTCTAAAACACAACACCTAACAATGGCCAAGTGTAACCAATGAAAGAGACTGCAGTATAGTGGCTCAAGTGATAAATATCGAATCCACGGGTCTCTAGAGTTACTATTACTCAGCTTCAGTTTATTATTTAGCAAACCAGATTAAGATAAAAGAACTAAAACTACTCTAGCAAACTACAGTTAAAGTTAATCTAATTACAGGTTGGGAACTCACTTAGGTATGATTCCCCCTAGCCACTAGCCAGACTAACGATTGATGATCTCTAACCTGTTTCACTTTCATTCACAATGCGGAGAATCCTTGACTAGACCTTGAGTCTCGACTAAAGGAACAAGGCCCTCTTGAGTCAATTGCCTAGAGGGACGTATCCTTCTCTAGAACAACCGATCAAGGCGTTCTGAACTAGATTCCCTCTATCGAATGAGGTTCTCAATCGATACAAAGCAGTGAACCAACCCTCGACTAAAGCAATCGATCCACTACTATCAATCTATGGTGCTCTATTGACCTAATCAGGTATTCCCTCTCATAGGATCAAAGCAGAATCAATAATCTCGACTAAAGCAGAATTGAATCATGAAAACATGCATAGATTGAATATGAACTCAAGATTATCAAGTCAGAGTACTCATACAATCATCCAATCAAACAAACATAGCTAGGGTTCCTCAAAACCTAAGTGAAGGGAAGTTACTCCATAGAGAAGAGAGAGACTGCAGTAAGAATCTTCAGATGATCAGTCTTCAAGTCCGGGCTTGTTCCTCGAGCTTCCAAGGCGAAGAAATCCTCCTTCTCTACTCCAAGAATGCCCTCAAATCGCCCTCTCTCTCTAGGGTTCGTCCCTTGGGTGTTTGGGATCCAAAACCCAGCTCTCCTCTTCTTTGGTTCGGAATTTGGCTTAAAACCAGGAAATCCCGACTCGCACGGCCAGGGTGCACGGCCGTGCATATCACCATTCTGGCCGTGCAACTCAAAACGCAGCGTGTCATTTAGTCGAACTTCAGCCCTCTCGCACGGCCAGGGTGCACGGCCGTGCGAGCTTCAGGGGTTGCCCGTGCGTGTCCTCGGCATAAGGCGCACGGCCATATTGCTCACGTGCACGGCCGTGCAGCCTCCCTGGTCTGCCCGTGCAGCTTGCTCAGCCTCTGTTTAATGCTTCGTTTCTCCCTCGTCCGGACTCCGAATCAATCGCCGTTTGATCCCAGACGCTCGTAGTCTCGTCCTCTTTCGTTTCATAACAAGCTTGCATGATTCTTTGTCCATAAAGTGAGGTAGAAATCCATTCTTCTTCAGGTCATGCCCGAGTTTCTTCTCTCGAATCGTCAATTGATCTCTGATTGACTTGAAACTTGCGCCTATGCTTCACTTTATGTGCTAGGACCTGAAATGGGACAAAGGAATACAACCTAGCATAAAATAGGCCAAAGACGCAATAATTCAAGCTCAGACAATCAAGAAACAAAGGGGAAAACATGTGCAAATACCGAGTCATCAGTCTCAGACCGAATCCGTGATTTGTAGCCTTCAAAATCCAAAGAAAATGGCATTTCGACGCCCACAAAATTACGAAAATGCCATCCGAAAATAACTTGACCCAAATCGGTGTTTAATGGATTTATCATCCGTGGAGAATAGGATCAATAGACTTCATTATCGGTGGAGAATAGCCTCGGCCTGATTTCAGGATCTGTAGCCTCCAGAATCGAAAGAAAATGGCATTTCGGAAAAATCGCCCAAAATCGGTGATGGTACCCCTTTGCAATATGCCAAAAATTTACCCGGAATAAATCCGCCCAAATCGGTGATTAATGGACTTAGTCATCGTTGAAGAATAGTCTCGGGCAGAATCTGTGATCTGTAGCCTTCAAAATCCAATAAAAATGGCCTTTCGACGCCCACAAAATTACGAAAATGCCATCCGAAAATAAATTGGCCCAAATCAGTGTTTAATGGACTTATCATCCGTGGAGAATAAGATCAATAGACTTCATTATCGGTGGAGAATAGCCTCGGCCTGATTTCACGATCTGTAGCCTCCAGAATCGAAAGAAAATGGCATTTCGGAAAAATCGCCCAAAATCGGTGATGGTACCCCTTTGCAATATGCCAAAAATTGACCCGGAGAAAATCCGCCCAAATCGGTGCCTAATGGACTTAGTCCCGAATCCGTGATCTGTAGCCTTCAAAATCCAAAGAAAATGGCATTTCGACGCCCACAAAATTACGAAAATGCCATCCGAAAATAAATTGGCCCAAATCGGTGTTTAATGGACTTACTATACGTGAAGAATAGGATCAATAGACTTCATTATCGGTGGAGAATAGCCTCGGCCTGATTTTATGATCTGTAGCCTCCAGAATCGAAAGAAAATGGCATTTCGGAAAAATCGCCTACAATCGGTGATGGTACCCCTTTGCAATCTGCCAAAAATTGACCCGGAATAAATCCGCCCAAATTGGTGCTTCATGGACTTAGTCATCGTTGAAGAATAGTCTCAGGCCGAATCCGTGATCTGTAGCGTTCAAAATCCAAAGAAAATTGTATTTCTACGCACACAAAATTACGAAAATACCATCCGAAAATAAATTGGCCCAATCCGGTGTTTAATGGACTTATCATCCGTGGAGAATAGGATCAATAGAATTCATTATCGGTGGAGAATAGCCTCGGCCTGATTTCGTGATCTGTAGCCTCCAGAATCGAAAGAAAATGGCATTTCGGAAAAATCGCCCAAAATCGGTGATGGTACCCCTTTGCAATCTGCCAAAAATTGACCCGGAATAAATCCGCCCAAATCGGTGCTTAATGGACTTAGTCATCATTGAAGAATAGTCTCAGGCCGAATCCAGGATATGTAGCCTTCAAAATCCAAAGAAAATGGCATTTCGACGCCCACAAAATTACGAAAATGCCATCCGAAATTAAATTGGCCCAAATCGGTGTTTAATGGACTTATCATCCGTGCAGAATAGGATCAATAGACTTCATTATGGGTGGAGAATAGCCTCGGCCTGATTTCGTGATCTTTAGCCTCCGGAATAAAAAGAAAATTGCATTTCGGAAAAATCGCCCAAAATCGGTGATGGTACCCCTTTGCAATCTGCCAAAAATTGACCCGGAATAGATCCGCCCAAATCGGTGCTTAATGGAATTAGTCATTGTTGAAGAATAGTCTTAGGTCGAATTCGTGATCTGTAGCCTTCAAAATCCAAAGAAAATGGCATTTCGACGCTCACAAAATTACGAAAATGCCATCCGAAAATAAATTGGCCCAAATCGGTGTTTAATGGACTTATCATCCGTGGAGAATAGGATCAATAGACTTCATTATCGGTAGAGAATAGGCTCGGCCTGATTTCGTGATCTTTAGCCTCCAGAATCGAAAGAAAATGGCATTTCGGAAAAATCGCACAAAATGGGTGATGGTACGCCTTTGCAATCTGCCAAAAATTGACCTGGAATAGATCCTCCCAAATCGGTGCTTAATGGACTTAGTCATCGTTGAAGAATAGTCTCAGGCCGAATCCGTGATCTGTAGCCTTCAAAATCCAAAGAAAATGGCATTTCGACGCCCACAAAATTACGAAAATGCCATCCGAAAATAAATTGGCCCAAATCGGTGTTTAATGGACTTATCATCCATGAAGAATAGGATCAATAGACTTCATTATCGGTGGAGAATAGCCTCGGCCTGATTTCGTGATCTGTAGCCTCCAGAATCGAAAGAAAATGGCATTTCGGAAAAATCGCCCAAAATCGGTGATGGTACCCCTTTGCAATCTGCCAAAAATTGACAAGGAATAAATCCGCCCAAATCGGTGCTTAATGGACTTAGTCATCGTTGCGGAATAGTCTCAGGCCGAATCCGTGATCTGTAGTCTTCAAAATCCAATGAAAATGGCATTTCGACGCACAAAAAATTACAAAAATGCCATCCGAAAATAAATTGGCCCAATCTGGTGTTTAATGTACTTATCATCCGTGGATAATAGGATCAATAGACTTCATTATCGGTGGAGAATAGCCTCGGCCTGATTTCGTGATCTGTAGCCTCCAGAATCGAAAGAAAATGGCATTTCGGAAAAATCGCCCAAAATCAGTGATGCTACCCCTTTGCAATCTGCCAAAAATTGACCCAGAATAAATCCGCCCAAATCGGTGCTTAATGGACTTAGTCATCGTTGAATAATAGTCTCAGGCCGAATCCGTGATCTGTAGCCTTCAAAATCCAAAGAAAATGGCATTTCGACGCCCACAAAATTACGAAAATGCCATCCGAAAATAAATTGGCCCAAATCGGTGTTTAATGGACTTATCATCCAGGAAGAATAGGATCAATAGACTTCATTATCGGTGGAGAATAGCCTCTGCCTGATTTCGTGATCTGTAGCCTCCAGAATCGAAAGAAAATGGCATTTCGGAAAAATCGCCCAAAATCGGTGATGGTACCCCTTTGCAATCTGCCAAAAATTGACCCAGAATAAATCCGCCCAAATCGGTGCTTAATGGACTTAGTCATCGTTGAATAATAGTCTCAGGCCGAATCCGTGATCTGTAGCCTTCAAAATCCAAAGAAAATGGCATTTCGACGCCCACAAAATTACGAAAATGCCATCCGAAAATAAATTGGCCCAAATCGGTGTTTAATGGACTTATCATCCAGGAAGAATAGGATCAATAAACTTCATTATCGGTGCAGAATAGCCTCGGCCTGATTTCGTGATCTGTAGCCTCCAGAATCGAAAGAAAATGGCATTTCGAAAAAATCGCCCAAAATCGGTGATGGTACCCCTTTGCAATCTGCCAAAAATTGACCCAGAATAAATCCGCCCAAATCGGTGCTTAATGGACTTAGTCATCGTTGAATAATAGTCTCAGGCCGAATCCGTGATCTGTAGCCTTCAAAATCCAAAGAAAATGGCATTTCTACGCCCACAAAGTTACGAAAATGCCATCCGAAAATAAATTGGCCCAAATCGGTGTTTAATGGACTTATCATCGTGGAGAATAGGATCAATAGACTTCATTATCGGTGGAGAATAGCCTCGGCTTGATTTCGTGATCTGTAGCCTCCAGAATCGAAAGAAAATGGCATTTCGGAAAAATTGCACAAAATCGGTGATGGTACCCCTTTGCAATCTTCCAAAAATTTACCCTGAATAGATCCACCCAAAACGGTGCTTAATGGACTTATTCATCGTTGAAGAATAGTCTCAGGCCGAATCCGTGATCTGTACCCTTCAAAATCCAAAGAAAATGGCATTTCGACGCCCACAAAATTACGAAAATGCCATCCGAAAATAAATTGGCCCAAATCGGTGTTTAATGGACTTATCATCCGTGGAAAATAGGATCAATAGAATTCATTATCGGTGGAGAATAGCCTCGGCCTGATTTCGTGATCTGTAGCCTCCAGAATCGAAAGAAAATGGCATTTCGGAAAAATCGCCCAAAATCGGTGATGCTACCCCTTTGCAATCTGCCAAAAATTGACCCAGAATAAATCCGCCCAAATCGGTGCTTAATGGACTTAGTCATCGTTGAATAATAGTCTCAGGCCGAATCCGTGATCTGTAGCCTTCAAAATCCAAAGAAAATGGCATTTCGACGCCCACAAAATTACGAAAATGCCATCCGAAAATAAATTGGCCCAAATCGGTGTTTAATGGACTTATCATCCAGGAAGAATAGGATCAATAGACTTCATTATCGGTGGAGAATAGCCTCTGCCTGATTTCGTGATCTGTAGCCTCCAGAATCGAAAGAAAATGGCATTTCGGAAAAATCGCCCAAAATCGGTGATGGTACCCCTTTGCAATCTGCCAAAAATTGACCCAGAATAAATCCGCCCAAATCGGTGCTTAATGGACTTAGTCATCGTTGAATAATAGTCTCAGGCCGAATCCGTGATCTGTAGCCTTCAAAATCCAAAGAAAATGGCATTTCGACGCCCACAAAATTACGAAAATGCCATCCGAAAATAAATTGGCCCAAATCGGTGTTTAATGGACTTATCATCCAGGAAGAATAGGATCAATAAACTTCATTATCGGTGCAGAATAGCCTCGGCCTGATTTCGTGATCTGTAGCCTCCAGAATCGAAAGAAAATGGCATTTCGAAAAAATCGCCCAAAATCGGTGATGGTACCCCTTTGCAATCTGCCAAAAATTGACCCAGAATAAATCCGCCCAAATCGGTGCTTAATGGACTTAGTCATCGTTGAATAATAGTCCCAGGCCGAATCCGTGATCTGTAGCCTTCAAAATCCAAAGAAAATGGCATTTCTACGCCCACAAAGTTACGAAAATGCCATCCGAAAATAAATTGGCCCAAATCGGTGTTTAATGGACTTATCATCGTGGAGAATAGGATCAATAGACTTCATTATCGGTGGAGAATAGCCTCGGCTTGATTTCGTGATCTGTAGCCTCCAGAATCGAAAGAAAATGGCATTTCGGAAAAATTGCACAAAATCGGTGATGGTACCCCTTTGCAATCTTCCAAAAATTTACCCTGAATAGATCCACCCAAAACGGTGCTTAATGGACTTATTCATCGTTGAAGAATAGTCTCAGGCCGAATCCGTGATCTGTACCCTTCAAAATCCAAAGAAAATGGCATTTCGACGCCCACAAAATTACGAAAATGCCATCCGAAAATAAATTGGCCCAAATCGGTGTTTAATGGACTTATCATCCGTGGAAAATAGGATCAATAGAATTCATTATCGGTGGAGAATAGCCTCGGCCTGATTTCGTGATCTGTAGCCTCCAGAATCGAAAGAAAATGGCATTTCAGAAAAATCGCCCAAAATCGGTGATGATACCCCTTTGCAATCTGCCAAAAATTGACCCGGAATAAATCCGCCCAAATCGGTGCTTAATGGACTTACTCATCATTGAAGAATAGTCTCAGGCCGAATCCATGATCTGTAGCCTTCAAAATCCAAAGAAAATGGCATTTCGACGCCCACAAAATTACGAAAATGCCATCCGTGGCCCAAATCGGTGTTTAATGGACTTATCATCCAGGAAGAATAGGATCATTAGACTTCATTATCGGTGCAGAATAGCCTCGGCCTGATTTCGTGATCTGTAGCCTCCAGAATCGAAAGAAAATGGCATTTCGGAAAAATCGCCCAAAATCGGTGATGGTACCCCTTTGCAATCTGCCAAAAATTGACCCAGAATAAATCCGCCCAAATCGGTGCTTAATGGACTTAGTCATCGTTGAATAATAGTCTCAGGCCGAATCCGTGATCTGTAGCCTTCAAAATCCAAAGAAAATGGCATTTCTACGCCCACAAAGTTACGAAAATGCCATCCGAAAATAAATTGGCCCAAATCGGTGTTTAATGGACTTATCATCGTGGAGAATAGGATCAATAGACTTCATTATCGGTGGAGAATAGCCTCGGCTTGATTTCGTGATCTGTAGCCTCCAGAATCGAAAGAAAATGGCATTTCGGAAAAATTGCACAAAATCGGTGATGGTACCCCTTTGCAATCTTCCAAAAATTTACCCTGAATAGATCCACCCAAAACGGTGCTTAATGGACTTAGTCATCGTTGAAGAATAGTCTCAGGCCGAATCCGTGATCTGTACCCTTCAAAATCCAAAGAAAATGGCATTTCGACGCCCACAAAATTACGAAAATGCCATCCGAAAATAAATTAGCCCAAATCGGTGTTTAATGGACTTATCATCCGTGGAAAATAGGATCAATAGAATTCATTATCGGTGGAGAATATCCTCGGCCTGATTTCGTGATCTGTAGCCTCCAGAATCGAAAGAAAATGGCATTTCAGAAAAATCGCCCAAAATCGGTGATGATACCCCTTTGCAATCTGCCAAAAATTGACCTGGAATAAATCCGCCCAAATCGGTGCTTAATGGACTTACTCATCATTGAAGAATAGTCTCAGGCCGAATCCATGATATGTATGTAGCCTTCAAAATCCAAAGAAAATGGCATTTCGACGTCCACAAAATTACGAAAATGCCATCCGAAAATAAATTGCCCATATCGGTGTTTAATGGACTTATCATCCGTGGA